TGGGCCCGTTGACATCAGCAGATGCCATGTCTTTCGGCATATTAAAAATAAGTCTCGCAGCCCTACAATGAAGTCTTTCCAGGGACTGAAATAAGTCGGAATTGCAGCAAGATCCCCATAGTATAAGACCATAAGTCACTGAAGGCAAAATGACCTTAAAATAGAGATCCTGACGAACGTTCCTAAGGAGGTCTCGACTTCTTAAGTAATCCTAGTTTTTTAGCAAATGATTTTTTTAGTTCCAGCATATGCGGGAGTCCAGGTCGGTTTCTCATGAACGGTCATTCCCAGTAATTCAAGGTACACATGTGACAAACGCTCTACACACTGTTACAGTGACGTCGTCGTTAATTCTCAAGCGCATTTTAAACCTCAGCTAGTACTCAATCCACCACAGAGTCTCTGGGGCTCAGCTAGTACTCACTCCACCACAGAGTCTCTGAGGCTCAGCTAGTACTCACTCCACCACAGAGTCTCTGAGGCTCAGCTAGTACTCACTCCACCACAGAGTCTCTGAGGCTAAGCGATAGAGCATTGGAGCACGGAATCCAAACGTCTGAGGTTCGGTTCCTCATGGGACTCAGAATTTTTTCTTTGCCCCTCGCTCGTAACAAGATGAACAACATCTATCTCTATTTCTTTACCGAGCTCAAAATTTATCATCTTTCTTATTATGTTACTTACTCTCTCGAGCGAATGAAGGATTTGCAAAGGAAAGAACAAAGAATAAAGTGACCCAGTTTTGCTCAGGACTGATACCGCCATCCAAAAGATAAATTATTATTGGGATAAATTATTGGGATAAATATTATTGGGATAAATATTATTGGGACAAAACGCACCATGTTATCCAACGGACAGAGATTTATTCAGTGGATAGCGTCATCCATCCCTCGAACAACCTTGAAAAACTTGTAGGATCATTGGAATAAAGCATCTAACAAAATTCAACTCGTCACTGACTATCACGGAATCGAGCTATAATCCTCACCTCTGAGAACTTCATGGGAATAAATCCAACATAATAAGCGCACACGAGTGACTGAAAGAGAACCTGTTTGATTCGAAGATTAAAATCGGTTCTCAGGCATTCTGTCTCATATCGCACTGCATCCGGTGGCAGTGAACACGGTTGAGGAGCTGGTAGTTCCTGTTTAGAATTTCCGTTCACCATTACACTTTTTGCATCCAGCAGGCTGCTCTGTAGTAGCTGTAGCTGTGATAAAGGGCCTAGCTCTTGGTGTGGGCTTATTTTAAGCATTACTTTACTTCCCTGGGGTTCCAGGGTGAAGCCAAAGGTAAATATGTACATTATTGACCTGTAAAACAAGACAATCTCTTTCATTAAACACTTAATGACTCGACCGTAGAAATTAGTTAGGGTTTAGAGCATATTTTATCTTGGCTACGTATTGTATATATATATATTTTTTCTCTTTAATTGATGGAATTTTTTCCTTTTGTATACACTGTTGATGTTATAAATGTTGATGTTGTAAATGGTGCATAACAATAAACTGTTATCCGAGGAAAATAACTCCCGAAAAATTAAGTTTGCAGAAAGAAAACAGCTCTAACAAAGAAACAGGAAAAACGCAGAAAACTTCTTCTTTGAGCACAATTTTAATCCTCACTAACAAGTTTGGAAAGCTTACTAGTAAAAAGGTTTTCATACAAGAACAACTGTTAATCGGAGAGTTAACGTAATTCCTCGAATAACTGAGCGCCTACCTCCTAGGCCAAAACTTAAAATAAGAGCCCCCCTGAAATAACCCGTCACTTTCTCAAATTAGTAGGGATAAAGGAGTCTCTGTGGCTCAGGGGTAGAGCATCGGAGCACGGAATTTGAAGGTCTGACGTTCGATTCCTGATGGACTCAGAAATTTTTTCTTTTTCTTCCACTCGTGACCACCCCAGCCCTTCTCCTTACTTTTGACTGTCACTCACCCCCTTAGTACAAATTTCTTCCTCTCCCCAGCCTTCCGCTGCCATTAAAATCAAAGATAGCGGCCATATTTCGCTAAAAAAATTACTGAGCACTCGCTCGCCAAAATTACGCCTGCTCTGCAGGTTAGCTATCAGTGCCCCCCTCGATTAAGCGCCCTCCTCGTAATAAGCATCCCTTCTTTGCACCGAAATTTTAAACAAGCGTCTGCGCACTTATTGGAAGAAATATGGTATTCAAGGAAGCTCTCGACTTCTTGAAGAAATTTACTAAGAGATATAGGCTCGTCCTTAAAAAAATTTCAACCCCAACAAAGACATGAACATAATAAAGTTATGATACTCACGGGTAACAAAGAAAAAGGCAATTCTGAATACTGTTTTGCTGAATAATTCTCCATGACAACCATACAAAGCCTGATCCAAGCGATAGAAGTGCCACGCCCTTCAGGAAGACATTAGCAAAATATTTGACAGTGTATAGAACTTCTGAGGCTAGTGTCTGTAAAAGAAGAAATAAATTTTAAAAAATGCAGGGACATAGGGTGGATTTTCCAATTAAGGTTCCAAGACTGGAGTTTTATTAGTATTTAAACGCATGCTGATTTGAAGGAAGGGGTTCACATCAACCCAAT